GGAGAGAGAGAGCAGCAACCGTGGAGTAGGAATATGGAGAGACAACCCTAGGAGCAGAAGGAAGAAGGCAAAGCAAGGGTCCATGAGAGGAGAAGCACCAAGAATGCTAGCATGAGAAGGCATGGTCACATTGAGAGCAGAGGGAAAAACGTCAGCACCAGGAGTCGCGACGGAAAGCGATGGCGGGGCAGGGGACTGGCGACGCTGGTGAGACTGTAGAAACGTGACAGGAGGAGAGGTCCAGCGGTAAAAGGGAGAGGCGGTCCAAGAGGGAGAGAGGGGAGCGGATGACGCGTAGGGTAGGGAAAGGAGAGGTAAGGGATGAGGGACAGTAGCAGGAGGGAGAGGGCAGTAGCAGCGAGGAAGAGAGGGAGTCGTAAGAATGGGCGCCATAGGAGGGGAAGGAGACAAAAGCATAGGAGCTGAGGGGAGAACTAAGAGGCGGAGGAATATGTCGAAGTAGTCTGCTGCTGCGCCGCTGAGGGGAGAAATAAGAGGCGGAGGAACAAGGGCGGAGTAGTCTGCTGCTGCGCCGCTGAGGGGAGACATAAGAGGCGGAGGAATATGGGCGGAGCAGTCTGCTGCTGCGCCGCTGAGGGGAGAAATACGAGGCGGAGGAATATGGGCGGAGTAGTCTGCTGCTGCGCCGCTGAGGGGAGAAATAAGAGGCGGAGGAATAAGGGCGGAGTAGTCTGCTGCTGCGCCGCTGAGGGGAGAAATAAGAGGCGTAGGGAAAGTGTGAGAAGGAGCACGACAACGAGACAAGGTCAGCAACCAGCTGCGATAGAGGGAGAGGATAGAGAGGCGGAGGAGAGAGCAAGATGGGGAGGGGAAAGTAGGGAGAGAGGAGAGGAGGAGGAGGGTGAGGGGGCGGATTGTATGGCAAAGGATCTTGATAGAGGGGAGAGGAGTGGAGAGAGGCACAACCACCAGGCGAAATCAGCAGCCAGCTGCTGCAGCTGAGGTGAGATAGGAGGCGGAGGAAAGAGGAAGGTTGTAGAGGGAATGAAGGGAGAGAGAGGAGGAGGAGGGGAGTGAAGAGACGAATTTCGAAATGGTGATGGCGAATAGCAGAATGCAGAAAGGCGCGCATGGGGGGGGGAGGAGGCACGCGACAGCGGTGCAGTAGTAGCGCGCGACGAGGGGAGCGAAGGGACGCGCGGGTGAGGGACGAGGGGCAGGCGGAAGCGGGAAGAATGACGCATGCGACGGCAGTATGGGCCGCGCGCGACGAAAGGGAGGAGGGAGAGAGGGCGCGCGACGAGCAGCAGGTCGCGCGCTAGTGCTGAGGGAGATGGCGCGCTACTACGGAGGGCGGATCCGCGATTTGGGGAGAAAAACAAAAGACCGAGCGAAAGAAAAGGAGTAAAATCGACTAGCTAAGGGGTAGCGCGGAATAAGCTTAGGGGCCTGGAAGGTTCTAAGAAATGTAGATGACAAGGAGACGCCTAGGATTTCGCTCTGATACCTTGTTAATGTTAGGTTTGCGGCAGCCATGGCTAGTGAATATAGTAATGAGGAAAAAAAAAGTTCAAGTAGAGAAAGAGTCGAGAGACATTTGAAAGATAGGGTTGGGAAACCCCAACTGAACCTAGGGCGTGTTCAATGCAGAGACAAATTGCAAAGTGAACCTGAGATGAACCAGAATTGAAACTAAGTCTAAAAGTGGCCGAAAAATAAAATAAGGCCAAAAAGAAATGCAGAGCGAAAACTAGCCTACTCCAACACGAGCAACATTCCGTCGCTGTCCTCCTGCAGCTTCACGCCGTTCTCCTTCAGCTGGCCCGCCGAAAGCAGGTTCGCCCGCACACCCGGGACGTAGAGCACGTCGGGAATGAGCACCTGCTTCCCGGCCTCCCCTTGCAGGGCGACAGTGCTGCGGCCCTGGACGTTCTGCAGCGCCCCATTGAAGCCGCGCACGTGCTTGATGTCGCCGCTCGGCTGCAGGTCGACGAAGACCTCCTTCGTCTCTATCAGGTGGTGGGAGCAGCCACTGTCGAGCAGGACCACCGCAGGGTTCGCCTGCACAGCTGCCGCCACCGCCTGGAAGTCCTTTCCATCCTCCGGTGCTAGCGAGAGAGTCGGCTCCACGACGCCGACCAGCGAGCACGACGCCGTCTTGTCGTCTCGCCCCTTGCCACTAGCAGAGGAGTCGGCGTCCTTCGCCGAGGTCGACGTGGTCGACTGCTTCTCCTTGCGCGGCTTGTTTCCTCCACAACGAGAACGACGACTGCCAGACCTCCCACGGCCTCCCTTGGCGTCGTCGTCGTCGGAGCCACTGCGGTCGGGGCACTCGAAGGAGAGGTGGTCGGGGTCGCCGCACAAGCACTCCCGACGTCGGCTTCCTCCTCCTCGACTGCTGTCCTTGGTCGACTTCTTCATGTCGACTTCCTTGGCCGGCTTCTAGCCGCTGCTATCACTGCCGCCAGACTGCAAGCGCTGCCTTGGTCGGCCACCTTGCTTTGCCAGGGCGACGAAGTTTGCCTACGCCAAGAGCTCCTGGGACCGCTCAGCCTCCTGCATCGCCTCGTCCTGCAGGATGTACGAGGTCAAGTTGTCCTCGTTGAGCGTCGTCCTCGTGCTCGGCGCCATTGACAATCGCTTCAGGAGGTTGTAGCCGCTCGAGAGTCCCTGCGTGACAGTACGATGCCGTCGAGTACTGTGCGCCGGCCATCCTGATGGTGGCGAGAATCCGCCGAGCTCGGTTGTAGTAGTCGGTCGCCGTCTCCTTGTCGCCCATACGCAGATGCGTCAGCTGCCCCTCCAGTTGGGCGATGAACAAGTCGTTGGTGACCTGGTATGTCGACTCAATGAAGTGCCATGCCCGGTGGCCGGCGTTGAGGTACTCTCGGCACCACTTCAAGGCGATCTGCACGCCCGGCGAGTAGCATCGCGAAATGACCTCGAAGGTTAACACCTGCACGGCGCGAAACTCCACACGCAGGTCGAGGTCGTCCGGCGTCGCCACTGTGCCTCGAGCAAAGCTGATCAGCCCGGCCATCTCCAGCTGGGGCTTGATGGCTTCCTTTTAGGTGAGTATGTCTGTTCGGCCAACGAGTGGCGGGGTGACCAAGATCCTGTCCGGCGTAAACTTGAAGTAGCCGTATCTCGGTGCAATTCCGCCCGCCGTCACCTGGGTCGCCGACATCGGCGACAATCCGCTTCGTCGACCTCCGACGTCGCCTTGCGTGGACCCTGCAGTCGCCGATGGCTGAACTCTTCGCGCCTAAACGCCGCCGACTTCATCGGCGTGAATCGCACCACGCTGCCTCAACATGCCTCCCGCACTGCTGCCAACTGGGCCACCTCCGGCGTTGACGCCCACGTCGACGCCACATTCGTTGGTTATTGGTTAAGGAGAAGCTGGTCGAAAAGGGGGATACTCCGTCGCCCACATGGTGCGGAGTCCAGCCTCGACGACCGCCCAAGGTATCGCTCCGTACTTCTAGGCCTCATGGCGTCTCCTCGCATCCTTCAGCCGTGCCTCCAAGGTGTCCATCACCTCTGTGTCACCTACGCGCACGCTAGTGTCTGCACGGTTGCCGGCCTACGAGCAACTTAGGTAAGTGACCACTACGTCGACTTGACTGAAAGGTAGGTCGTGTGCCGTCCACGCTCACCGCACCATGCGGAGATAACTACTACAATGGGAGCTAGACTGCGGGCTAGGCACGGATGCTTGTGTGATCTCTGCGTTCGTTGTTTGCTAGTTGTTTTCCTAGTGCACACACTGCTTGCTAGTTCACGGGGCAATTTGGCAAGAGTTTCACTAGAGAAAGTTGACAATAATGGTGACAACAACATTGGCATGCAAGATTATATCGGACCTAGCAAAACTGCTGGTCGACATCCAGCGCAGCACGGTCAACCGCGTGCCAGCACGGCTTGGTCGACCGCGCTCCAGCAGAGCAAAGTGGCGGCTTGCCAACATTGCACGATTACGGTGTGCCATCGCTGCAGCAAGTCGGCTGCACAGCGTTACACCCGCAGGACAACGGTGCAATTGCTTTGCAGGTGCATGCAGCTGGTTGGTGCGCACTTCCTTGTCACGTGTACAGCGCAGACGCCCAGGTCGGCTCCTCGCCAGTGAGTGCGCCCACCAGCCACGTTGACCTCGGGATACCACTTCCAAGGTCGACCTCGTAGACTCCACCTCGGCGACACTCGCGCACATCGCCCGGGTATCCCGGTCGACCGGGCAACCACGCTTGGTCGACCAGCTCGACCGGTTGCCGGCTGCACAAGCCCGACGTCCCCAATGCTCGACGCCCAGCTGCTCGGCATCCTACTTCCCTGTCAAAGTCGACGTCGGCCTCTCCCTTCGTCGACCACAGTGTCCTGGTCGACCACCAGGTCGACTTCCCTTCTGGTCGACGAGCCCCACGTCGACCAGCACAGCTGTCAGCCGACCGCCCAAGTCAGCTTCTCCAGATCGGCGTCACCAAGTCGACGCCCTACACAGGTCAACCTCCCAAGTCGACCTCCCCGAAGTTGGCGCCCTCCCGAAGTCGACGCCCTTGCAGTGGCCCCCGTGCAGGTCGACCGACCCCGTCGACCAGCTCGTCCACTACAGCAGGTTGGCTGCTCCCCTCACACCCGACCACGAAGTCGGCTCCGTCCAAGCGAGGATGGGGCCAAACCCAACCCCTGTTGACACTTGCTTCTACCCCCCCTTTTAGTCCAGCACTGCAGATATAATTATCATTGCACCTTGCATTGCGGAACCCGTGCCTCAGCCGCACAATATCTTTCGTGAACGTGGAGTGGGCTGTGCCCAGAAAGCCTGCACCCAGCACACACACCAGCTTCTCCAGCGTGGCGACCGCTTGCGGGCTGATTTTGATATCGATGCCCTGGGAGAGGGAGTAAGGCGAAAAGAGGTTGAATGGAGGGGGAAGATAGCTCCTGGTGAACTAAGAGTGCGCACACACCAGCTTCTTCCAGTGTTGCCGCGGCTTGAAATGAGTGAAGTTTTGAGACGTCTCAAAGCTTCACACATCTCACACAGCTTCTCTAGTGTGGCTGCGGCTTGTGGGGTGGACTTGAGATTGATGCCCTGGGAGACGAAAAGGGAGAAAGAGGGAGGGGGGGGGGGGGGGGGGAGGTGAGGGGAGAAGGTTCTGAAGGGAGGGGCAAGTTGTGAAGGAGAGGACACAGCACCTATTGTGCATAGCAGCTCCCCAATGTGGCCACGTCTTGTGAGGTGCTCTTTAGGTTGATGCCCTAAGGGGGGGGGAGGGGAGGGGGGGAGGAGGGGGGGGGGGGAGGGGGGGATTGAGGGAGGATGAAGGGGTGGGTTCGAACAAAGCGGATTTTATTTTTTGGAGGAAAGGGGCACATCACCTTGCACGTACAGCAACTTCCCAGCGTGGCGGCGGTGTGAAGGGAGGCCTTGAGGTTGATGCCCCGAGGGAGGGATGGGGGGAAGTGGATGGAGGGGTTGAAGGGAGGGAGCGATTGTGTGTGGAGGAGGGGGCACATCACCCAGCACGCACAGCAGCTTCTCAGTATGGCGACAACTTGTGAGGTGTTTTTAAGGTTAATGACCCGTGAGAGGGAGAATGGTATGTAATGAATGAGGTTGAAAAAAAAGAGGAACATAGATCTGAAATGACGGAGGCACAGCAGCCAGCGTGCCCTAGAGAGGTGGTGAATTGAAGGGGGATAACAAGAAACAGCCTTCCAGTTCTCACCAATCTTCGCTAGCCTTAGCGATCTGTAAATAGACTCAAAAATCACAATGGAACCTAACGGGTGCTCTATTCAACTAGCCTTAACCGGCATTAACCATTCTACACCTGCCTCCACTGCCCTTCACCACCATTGACCACCTCCAGTAGCCTTCACCAGCATTTGCCAGTTTCGTCTGTACAACTGTTCAAGTTAGTTATGCTGTGAGAAATCTCAAACCAAACAACCTTCAAACCTGCACAACGTAGAACTGTTGCTAGCTCACATTCTCCATGAGCGATTGAAGCCACGTGCTGCTGTCCTCTTTAAAGAGCAGATGCGCTAGCGTTACAAGCTGCACTGCACTACTGCTATCAGGGCTGCTGCTGTTGCTGTTGATGTTGGCAGTTTGCTCATCACGCAATGAAGCCTCAACTCCGCTCGAAAAACCAGGCAGCATGCACCGCGCGATCGCGGGCGTTGACCGCCACTGAGATCGTGGATCCAACGGTTGAGATTCTAACTCAGATCCAGATGGCTGGGCAACCCCCTGCAATGAACGCGGTGCTTTGGCTGGTGGTGGCATCTCCTCTTGCTGCCCTCTGCTCTGGTGCTCATCTGTAGTTGACTCAGCAGTCTTCTCTCACGTGACTCAGGCGCTGCCTGTCCCTGCTCCACTGCAAGAGCAGCTGTAGCTCCCACCGCCTGTGGCTGTTGTTGAGGCGCCCCAAGCAGCGTTGCTGCAATGGCTGCTATTTCATTCGGCCGGGCGTTGGTGGCGAGGAAGACGAGGGGGACCCGTGCTGCGATGGCTGTAGCACGCATGTACTGTGTTGCCTGGTCCACTGGGAGGTAACAGCCGTCCGCCGATGCGTGCTGGTGGGCAGCATGGGAGGGAGGTGGGGGAGAGGGTGAGTGGGGTGGGGAGAGAGAGAGAGAGAGAGAGAGAGAGAGAGAGAGAGAGAGAGAGAGAGAGAGAGAGAGAGATAACAGAGTAAGGGGCAAGATGGTAGATGGAGGGAGAGGGCGTTGGTGGCGAGGAAGATGAGGCGAGGGGGACACGAGCTGCGATGGCTGTAGCATGCATATACTGTGCTGCCTGTTCTCCTGTGAGGAAACAGCCGTTCGATGGGTGCCGGTGGGAGGGGTGGGAGGGAGAAATGTGGGAAAAGGGTGTAAAGGCGAGAGGGGTGGGTGGGAGAGAGAGAGGGGGTGCGAGGGATGGCGGGTTGTGGAGGCCTTAGTTCCATCAGCTCAATAGGCCGACTCATTCCATTTCCTGACACCAAGTGTATCTTCTCTGTCACCTGATAGCACTTGACACAAGGCATTCTCTCACACCGGTTGTACCTTCTTTTCACAATACTTTGTATAGCCAAGTCGTACAAAACATACCTTTTTCCGGCAGAACTCCTTAAAGTCGCCCTCCTGAATTGCACTGCCAGGAACTGGCCGTTGAGCAGATCGCACTACACTATGTGCCGCGCTGCTGCTATGAGCGCCTCAGGTGGCTGTGGAAGTGAGTGTGGTGAAGAGGAAGAGGACGAAGTCTTTTGAGACGTATCAAAGCAAGAGAACATGACAAGAGGAAGAAGAGGGGGAACCAGTCACTCAGAAGATGGGGTGCCACACTATGTGACACGGTACACTCTTTCATCAAACGACAATCTTTCATCTGAATGGCAATCTCTCATCTGGACGGCAATCTCTCATCTGGACGGCAATCTCTCATCTGGACGGCAATCTCTCATCTGGACGGCAAGCACTCATCTGGGTGGGAATCTCTCATCAGGGCGGCAATCTCTCATCTGGGTGGCAATCTCTCACCCGGATGGCGGGAGACGCGAGGCATATTTCTCGCGGCACCACCTTGGCAGGCTTAGGCTTCCCCCTCTGCTTGCCCGGTGGTGGGGGCAGTAGAAACGGGAGATCCATAGGGGAGAGCATGCGGAATAAGATGGAATCCGTGATGGGTTGCTGTTGGGAAGGGGGAAGGAGAGGGGATGAGAGGAGGGGAGGAAGCACGTGTGAGACTATATTAAAGGGAAGGAGGCACGCTGGTAGCAGGAATGGGAGGTCCATAGGGGAGAGCATGCGGAAGAAGATGGAATCTGCGTTGGGTTGCTGTGGTGGGGAGAGAAGTGGGTATGGATAGGGAGAAGGGAAGACGGCATAATTTTACGGAAGAAAGCATGGGGTGAGGATTTGAAAAGCGTGAAGGGACCAAGACTGCAGGGATGGGAGGTCCGTTGGGGCGAGCATGTGGACAAGATGGAGTTCATGATGGGATGCTGGGGGGAAAGAGGAGGGAAGAGTAGGAACACGGTGATGGGATAGGAGTAGGGGTTTCTGATCTCTGGTGGGGTGTGGAATGCGATGTGTAGGATGTTGTTGTGGGTAGAGAGATGTCTTTTGAGGCGCCTCAAAAGTCGGGACACATGTGGTCTAGAGTCTAGAGGGTGTGATATGTGCTGTATGCGATTGGATTTGAACATGAGACGTACACAAAGGTTGAAACCATGGAAGAGGGGTCAGAATAGGAGATACTAGCAGGTGGCATCAGCAGGTGGCATAAATCAGGCCACTACAGGGTGACCCATAGATCCCTGAAATAATTAGATGTTTCGACTTTGTGAATGTGGGTATGTATGCTATGTGGGTGTGGGGGTTCTAGTTTATTTCTTTAGAATATTCCTTCACAGTTTCTGTGACCCCTTTGCAGGCAATAGAACAAGTTTGTGAGACTTGACTAGAGGCACATTGCAGTTTTACACTCTATATAACTTGATGAAGCTAGACTAGCCACAATGCCACCACCATGAGAAGTACTTGTTGTGGAGTTGCTAGGTACTTGCTAGGTACCTGTCAAACATGGCAATGTGGCAACTTGTGAACTTACACAACCATGCCCTTCCGCATGTCATTACCTGCTCAAATGTTTCATCGAGTTGGAATTGCGTAATGTTTCGTTGAGTTCAGATGTCGATCAGCTCATCCATCCATCCACGCTGCAGCCTGCAGGCATCGTGCTGCCATTCTGCTGCAATGGATTTCACATCAGTTCACAGCAGTAGAGGTTGAGCGATTTTGGACTCGAATATCTCCTTTCTGCACATGCAATGCAGGGATATAAGTGGCAACACAGTTTCGTGCCCTCCTGACAACACCACATGTGTGGTCAAACAAAACCCTGAAAGCGCTTTCTGTCACTTTTGCAGCTCCTTCTGCAACACTTGTACCCAGGCAGCAGCATGTAAGACACATCTAGCTATCCTTTCTCCTATGCTTCCTCTTCCCAACATTTGTGTGTGTGTTCCCTTACCCGTCTCACAATACTGTAAGTATCTCCAGTACCCACTACTTTTATTTTTCCATGTCCATCCCTTCCCCTCCAATATCCATCCCTTCGCTTGCCTCCTCCAGCGTTCCTCTCCCCACCTCCACCGTCCCCCTCCCCACCCCTAAGACGCACCACAGCGAAACCGCCCCTTTCCACAGCCTCCCCAGCAACCCCCCTCTCGGCTGCAACGTCCTCATCCCAGCCTGGTAGTCTGTCAGCAGCAGCTGTTGCCGGCATTGCCGTGGCAGCTGTAGCTTCTTTGCTGCTGCTCCTGCTGGTTGGCAGGCTGCTATGGAGGAGGCGCTACTAGAAAGAGGCAGCAGATGGAGCCGCAGCTACAGCAGTGAAAGAGAGCAACGATGTGCTACTAAGGAACTTCGAAGGTAGTAATCAATGTCTCCCACTTCCTCCATCCTCCACTGCTCCCCCTCTTATTCGAAAAGCTTGTAGGGAGAACTAAATTGGATAAGTGAAAGAGGTTGGGATGGAGGGACAACGTGAAAGAGCTGCCTTGAATAATTGTCCACACTCACCATCTGCAATGCAAGCACAGAACAGTTCATAAGCATTGTTGGCAATATGAAGACTTGGTCACATGGAGCATAGGTTTGGCAGGTAGGCGCGGAGGGAAATTCAGCCAGGTGATGGAAGCTGGTGATTGGAGTTGGGGCAGAGATGTATGGCTTTACAGGACCACCTGTGTAACCAGGGATGTGCAACCGAGCCGGATTCGGCCCTGGTGGAACCTCGCCTGGTTCGGCGCTAGACGAACCTCGCCGGCCGTCTGGAAAACTGGGCCAAACCTGGTTCCAGATGAGCCATGTCTCGGCCCGAGTCCAGCCAACATGGTGGGCAACCCAAAAACGGTCTGCCCGGCCCTGGGTGACTTATCAGCAAAGTCAAGTTATTGTGAAACTGTGTTCGTACCCTATATCTGCACGGGCCAGTTTTCCAACGATTCTTGCTGTACAAGGTTTTTTAACCCTGTGGCACATCTATGTTTTTATCACAACAAATGCACAGCTATGACTCTTCAACAATCCATGCGAACGCACTTTGCTCTTAGACTTCTTCACTTACCCATTCCATGCACGAGCAGGTCTGGCAGGGAGTGTGGCAGCGTCGCACTGCACGGAGTAATCCCTGGAGGAAGTGCTCACAGCCACCAGCAATTGGGCGAGTGACAACCACCTGAGGTCGGGCGCCATTGGTGACGTGTACAAGGGCGTGTCTCCGCGCGATGGCACCACACTGTGGACCGGCAAGCGAGCCAAGCTGCTTGAAACTGACTTTCTGCGGGAGGTGAGTGATTATCCTCGTCTTTGGCATGCTTCAAGTTGATTTTGGACACTACAAAAATACGTACGCTGAGTTTTCTTTCTAGATACGAAAAATAGATCTTGGGAAGTCCAAAAACAAAAAATCGTTTGAGCTCGCCACATGGGGAAGTATAACTTTGGTCATCGCACATCGCGATCTCATATTCGGTAATAAATTTTGTAACAAATCCACAGTAACTTCTTCTGTATGCTGTTGCACAACACAATCCACCCCGTTCAATCCCAAATCCTTCAAACTCAATGTTGAGTGGAAAAGTTAGCCTCAACTAGACTCAAACGGAATTACAGAAATGCGACTCATTTCTCCATTCGATGTTAATCCTTCAAACTCGTTGCTCCTACTGACCTCGTTCTTATTGACTAATACGACTAGACTGTGGGCACCAACTTGGTACTTGCACTGCGTCCATCCTCGCCTCTAGACCTAACAAACTGTCCGGAGAAAATGAATTTTTGCCCGGGCCTGCGTATTCTTGTGCGTACCGGACCCTTCCCGTATAGTGTACGGCATTTATAGACAAGCCGATATACTCTTGTGTATCGAACAAGAAACGCATATATTCCAACTTATGGCATGTTTTGTGTCTTGCACTTGTTGCATCTTGTTGGTTTCTTGTATGTCTTGCATGCTATCCATCCCCTCTATAAGGCTTTCACATACGGTCAAGCATGTCAAGAGTCTCGGGTCAGGTTGAGTGATTCAGTTTTTTCATCCATTTATCTTTAGGTCGCCCGGGGGAGTTTTGGCCTGCGAGTTTTCTCGCGCCGACCTGGCCTCTAAGTGGTCAGACTGGGTCCGATCGGTTGGGTCTACCCTACCCGCTGGCGAATACCGAAACCATAGTTGGGCTGGTTCGAGCCCACCAGAGGAGCAGCTCTACCCGGCCAAACTCCTGAATCAGGACGGGTCTACCTCACCTACCCAGGCCGTTTGCTCTTGCTTACACACAAGGACATGTTCTGTAACTTGGCACAAATTGGTTTTCTTTCAAATCATCTCACGATGACATCCGTTTTCACCCATTCCACAAACATATGTTTTACGATGTGAAGAAAATGGATCAGTGAACTCAGGGCACGATAGGAAGAAAAAATATCCTTCGCAAGAAAATTCACAGTACTAAGAATTGAACCCACGACCTCTAAAAACAAAGGTGAGAATCTACCCTCGGGGACATACGTGCTGCACAACGCCCCCCTGTGAAAAGTAAGGAATGGTGAACTAAGAAAAGAGTTGGGTACAAATATGAAACCCTAGAAAAATGTACCCCATACTGTCTACCCCACTACAGCCTAGAAAGACTATAGCATAAATGTTTGACACACCCCCATAGGCAAAGTGGGGAGAACAAGGGGTCACAAAAAGAGTCAAGCAAAGCACAGCACGCCCAGGGTGGATCACAACGTCACCACACATTCTGAGCACAAGTTCAAAGGCCACAAGGCCAGTTCACATGCAGGTATACATATATAAAGCTAAACATGCAAGGGCAGGTATATATAGGTTACAGTACAAACAAGGTCAAGAAGTGAGCAAGTGAGGCAAAGTAGGCAAAAGACCTAACAGAGTACAGAAGCGCTGATGATCACAAGGCGCGAGTGCCTTGGTGAAGATATCAGAAGTGTTGGCCTGAGAGGCCACGTAAGCAAGTCGCATCTGACCACGCTGCTGCAGCTCACGAGCAAGGAAGTAGCGAAGAGCAATGTGCTTCGTTCTGTGCTCCAGTCTGTGCTCCCGACATAAGGCCAGCATGGCCTTGTTGTCTACGTACAGAACTGGAGGAGAACGAGGCGGCTCTCCGAGGTCACTCAGCAGGTAGGTGAGCCAGCGTAACTCCTGTGCAGCCATGGCCCCTACGTAGATCTCAGCCTCACAGCTGGAGCTGAGAACAGAAGACGAGCGGGTAGACCGCCACGAAACAGAGCCGGAACCAAGGCTGAAGGTGTAACCCTGTGACGACCGCTGAGTAGCCTGGTCGTCCACCCAAGAAGCGTCTGCGTGACCAGTGAGGACCACTGGACTCCGCCCTCCAAGCACTAGCCCCATGCCCGACGTACTGCACAAGTAGCGCAACACCCTCTTCGCTGCAGCCATGTGCTCAGGTCTGTGTCTCCCAGGAGCAACATAGCGTGCAAGAATGCTAAGAGGGTATGCAAGGTCAGGTCGAGTGCAGGTCACCAGGTACATGAGGCAGCCAACAAGCTCTGGGTACGGGCCACTCGGCTCTACGGACTCATCCGAAGGCAGAGCTGAGAGCGAGTGGCGAGTAGACAGAGGAGTGGCCTGAGGCGAGGAGTACGTGAAGCCGAAGCGCTGAAGGACCTGCTGCACCATGTGTGACTGAGTCAGGGTAATGGTGCGCTATGCTCTGTCCCGGGTGATCTGCAAGCCAAGGTAGCTACGCAGTTCACCC